AGGCTGTATAAGAGAATGTTAGTGTTTTGTTTTCTTTCCTTTTTCCCCAACACTCGTCAGCCGTTCTTGGGTTAACGGCCGAAAACACCGTTAGCAGCGAAGGTAGCCAACTGATGACCTAGGGCAGAATGTCCATAGAAACATTTTGTAGTTTGACCAAAACTCATAATTAATTCTATTTTTAAATTCTTCAATAGATGAGTTTGGCAGTCATACTGAGTTGACTTGAAATGGGCGACACCTGCCTATTAGAGAAACATTTGTAGAAATATATGGGTTACTATACAATTTACTTATGCAACGTTTCGAAAGTCTTCCGCCTTTCGTCTTTAAGTCCAATAAGTTTGTTGAGTTTTTGAACTTGTTTTTTTTTTCTCCATGTTTTCCAGGTTGCCTGTATAATGTTTGGAGTATTTGTTTTGAATTTCGCGCAAAGCTACACGAGGGCTATCTACGCTACCCGCCCCTAATTTAGCAGTGTAAGACTAGAGGGAAGGCAGCTAGACATTACCACCCACCCCCAAGTCTTGGGCTACTCTTTTAACAACGAATAGTGGAATTGACCGTCACTTACAGCGCCTCCACGGCTGAAAGGGCGAGCATGTTTGGTGGGATGGGGATTCGAACCCGCGACTCGCAGATTGCGAGACGAGCACCCTCTCCACCTGGCCATGCCGGCCCGACGTTTGTAAAGATTGAAGATGTTCAATGCTCTCGTATTCGTGGCGAAAAGTTGTCGAGGTTCACAATGTTGTGTTTCCGTTGCCTTCAGTAGATGAAGTTTTTTTTTACAGTTTGCTTGTTTCTTATAATTATGACTAGTTATTACTTTAATTAATTGTAATTATTATTGTAGAATTTCAGAAGATGTCCTTGTATAATTTATTGCATGATTAGGTGAGTTATAAATTATTCACATATTTAGTTCTGCTTTTCTCTAGTCCAGTATTTAACTGTTTATATTGCCATTTAAACCATTCACAAATTGAATGAAAAGCACTACGCTATTCACCTATTACTATTGTAAATATTTAAGGCAGAAATATAATTACATATCTTACTTACAGGATCGGGAACCTGTGGGGGCTGCACCTCTCCCCTAGAGAAGAACTTGGATAAGGATGTCTGTATAGAAGTTGGTTGTTTGGACCACATTTGCAGGGAATGATCAAGAATGGACCATACATATTTGATAGGGCTTGTATCTGGTTATAAGTCTGGCCGCGGGAGAGTGGTAATACCATGACCACCAATCCACTGATTTGTGAATCAGACTGAATTAGCAGAAACCTATCTTGCACGAAAACATTCCCTTTCGTAAGCTGGTCGTTGATATACACATAAAACACTTTGTTCAAGCAGCAATAAACGTACCTTCTCAGACTTCCAGACATGATCGTCTAGCTACCTAAATGGCGTCCCATACCACAGCAGAAATGCAACTGTAATTTGCCGTAACTGGCAGTTGGTTCAACACAGTTCCTGGAAAGATAGTTGCCAAACCCAGATGCGTCGATTGTCTGATACTACACAAATGTGAAACAAAAATTATATTGTCCCAAAAGGCAGAATGGTGTAATAGTATCTGTGATACCCACTACTATCAACGTACAATGTTGCCTGAAGTGAGAAGTTGCTTCCATCTGATTACTCTGCCATTGTAGCTCATGCTATGAAGATAACTATCTGATAATATTGGAGCAGACTTGCACCTGTCATGCAACAGTAGGGGTCATTCGACATGGATTATTCCATACACTTTTATCCTTACAGCATGAACAGTCCATTTTGTTGATTATTCAGAAACTATTTTTTTTTGAAGTGACTGCAACTGTATTGTCACACTAGTAACTTTGAACATGCATGTGACCTGGAGATTTCTCGCCGACTTTAATCACCCTCCTATCGTTCAACTATACTTTGGTTGTTGTTAAGCACAAAGCTACACAAAGGGCTATCTGTGCTCTATCCACCACGGGTATCGAAACTCGGTTTCTAGCAGTATAAGTCCGCAGATATACCGCTGTTTTACTGGGGGACTTCAACTATTCAACCCCGCGAAAGTACAGTTAATTACAGGGATAG